ATAACACTATACCAGCTACTAGAAAGAAAATTAACTCTATCCCAGCCAAAACCAGGACATTCATTACATTTCACACATTGACCACAAAATACACTTATCAAATATCAATATCAAATATGAAAAATGAGGAGAAAAAGAAGTAAAACAGACTCTAGAAGACAAAATGAAGCCTAAGAATGAAATACAACTATCCAGTTTCTTCACACACACAAAAAAGTACTTATATCCTGAAGAACAGAACACTAACCTCCTGGCGAAAATTATTTGCTGTTCTCTCTAGATGATCCATTTTCCTTTTTGATTTTATTGTGCTACAACAAAAAGCAAACACAGATAATAGTCATTTTGACAGCTGTGCTACTGTCCCTTACTGATAGGAATTTCTATTAACATAACAATTTACCAGTGTAATCCAGACTAAGTCTAAATACGAATTAAATATAAATATACAACTGGGAGTTAAATAAGTATTTACAGGTCTGTAATAATTTGTCAGCTTCATTTTGACACAGTGAAGTGTTACCATGACATTCTCTTTAAAAAAAAAAAAAAATTTGTACGTGGATAACCTACCTGTTTACTGTGCAGTAACAAAAATCAGAGTGCCTCACCACCACCAATGCAGAATGAGTGGGAAAAATTCTGCTAGCACCTCTCAGTAACTGAGGAACAGTAAACCCCACGTAAATAGTAGCATGAGCCATGATGACTTGGCAGTCTTCAGAACCACCAGCTCCTGAAAAATCCATATAAATATTTGTTAAATAAAATACTCATCATTTGACATGGCTTGTTTTCACCCTTTATTTCCATTAAATCACAAAGGCTCAACTGGAGCTAAAACTAGCAATAGACATATAGGGTAACAAGAAGGAATTTTAAAAATATGGAAGGATCATAAAGAAGTTAAGTGAAAATGTGCATCCATCAATTTAGGGGGAAGACAACCTTGCCACAGATGATATAGAAAAGGCTGAAGTACTCAACACGTTTTTTTCCCCTCAGTCTTCAGAGGCAAAGCCTGCACCCAGACCTCTGCTTGGACCAGTAGTGTTTGGGAAGGAGAGGGCTAAGGAGTGGGGCCAGCAACTGCTTAGAGAAGCTGGATGTATTCAAATGCACAGAGCCAGACGGGTTACACTCAAGGCTGCTAAGAGACACAGCTGACATGCTTGTGAGGCAACTGTTTATTACCTATGAAAATCAGTTACCTGGGAAAGTCTCCAATTGACTGGAAAAAAAGCTAATGCATGGTCATTTTTAAGAGAGGCAAGAAGCAGTGCCTATGTCCAGTCAGCACTACCCAGTCTCTGGAATAATGCTCAGAGCTTGTCCCCTTAGCTGTGTAAAAGCTAAGAAACTAATCAGGGAGATTCAACACAGATTTGCCAAGGGCAAATTATGTTTGATAAATCTGAACACTTACTATGATGAAATGTCTGGTCATGCAGCTAAGGGGACAGCAGCAGATACAATACACCTTGACTGTCCTGTGGCTTTTGACAACATCTGCCATAGCATACACATTAGGAACCTAAGGCCAGATGGACTGTTGGGAGTGGTTGAAGACTGGCTCGGCAGACAGTTGAAGACTTGATGGCTTCAAATTGCTTCAGTTGCTGGCTAGTAACAGTAGGAGTACCCTGGGGTTGATACTGGGGCTGATATAGTTCAGTAAATTTATGAGTAATTTGGATGATGAGACAGAATGTACCATCAGCAAACTTGCAGATGATACTAAATTAGAGGGATGGTTGACATGTTGAATGGTAGAGCTTCACTTCAAAGGGACACTGCGAAACTGCAGGACTGTAAAACAGAAACCTCATGAACTTGAAGTACAAAGGTCTATACCCGGGACTGGCTTAATCCAGTGCTAGCAACTGTCCTGCTCCAAGCAGAAGCTTTGACTAGATGACCCTCAGAAGTCCCTTCCAGCCAACGTATCTGTGATTCTAAATGCTCAAACAATATTTATGTTTGAAAGAAGATCAAACACTGAATATGCATTCCCTTTCTATTGATAAAGAAAGTGTTCTGGTTGGAAAATTTTATAAACACTAAATAAACTGTTCATTTATAGGTTTATTTAAAAACACATAAATCCCTTATACTTCCATATTTCCTACATAATAATAGTTACATCTCTAAACTGTTAAGCAAGTAGCAGACACTTATATGCACTACAGGGGAAACACGGTGTGAAGATTCAAAACTGCATACTCAAAATGGAGCTATGACAGAGAAAGATAAACTGACATGTACAATATTAAAAGTCAGAAAGACCCTTCATATACAAGTGTAGGAACAGGTTCATAGAGAGCCAAGAGACATTTCTCATTGCTTGTAAATCTGCCTTTGTTTTTCCTAAAATGGATTAGCATAATTCTCTATCATATTATCATCACCTATCAAATTAATTATTTCTATGATGCAGTCCATTGCTTCTTTAAAGCCTTCTTAATCTTTTACTTCCATTTAAATCTCTTTTCCGGCATTCTTTTAAAGCATGTAATTTATTTTCAAAATGGTTTTGTTTTTCATTTTGAATCCTTTGAAATGGCAACGATCCAGCTTGTTTAACTAAACAGGCCTATACTCTCTAGGCTTTCACTAACAGCTGCATTGGCTGGTCACTTGGTAATTTGTCCTGTTTGTAATCTTGCACAAATGGGAGGCAGAGCTTTCATAAACCTGGCTGCTCAGAAACAAAATACATTTACTGTAACTACTCAAAATGCCCACTTTCAAGCGTGAGAAATACATCCTGCAGCTTTTAACTGTCCATAATTTTTAATAACTTTTTAGCATTTAATTCCACAGCAGCTTGCAACTTTTCAAAGCAGAATTATTTAAAACTCTTCCACCACCAGTGAGCAAAATCACTTTTTTTTTTTGCCACAGCATATAACAAATACTCGATTTAAACAAAATACTTTAGCGCTTTCTACATGCAAATGTGTAGAAGCTCTTGGTAACAAAAGCATTAACATCTTAAAATATTTTAGCAAGACAAAGTACACATCTAATGAAGAAGTGACATTCCTCTATCTTGGTTATATCCATCTACTTCTCCTTTTTTTTACGCTTCTTGCTTTTTGATTCATGTTCTCAAGCTTTTCACTCTACCACATTAACCAATTCAAAGTAAAAACAAAGGATGTTTGAAAGTGGACATTCTTATGTAAGCTGTTTATGCCAACAGCTGTGACTTTAATTAAATCAACACAACATCAAAATGAACCACATAAAGTCTAACGCTTTGCTTCAGAGGCCAAGAACTGAGAATAAAGACTTAATTATTGGGGTTTTGTATGGTTTTTAAATCACCTCATATCCTTCAAAACCCTTTCTGCAATTAACTGCTACTAAACACAGCAAGATCTGCTGGTATAATACGTGGCCTAACTTTAAAATTCAATAGGAAGATTCTTGATTGTTTATTTTATGTATTTGGTTTAATTCTGCTCCTAAGGTTGACAGTCACTTAAAGCCGGCCTCATTCTCATTTTCACTGCTACCAATTTAGGAAGCAAATACGTTCAGTTCTACATATGAAAATGTAAAAAAACAAGCAACCAACCAAAAGTTCAATATCAATACATAATACTGAAAACAAAATAAATGTCAGCCTTATTTTATTGTAGCAGCTACAACTTTGAAGTCAGAACTGAAAGATCCTATTGACACAGACTATTTTCAGAGTGAGACTCTTCCCTAAACTAAAAATAACTCTTGAATGGTAGTTCAGGATATTTGTTCCATTTACACTGTCATCAATCACTTTCCAATCTGAAAATCACAATAAAAATCAGTTGTAATTTTTACCCTGTAACTAATAAATTCCAAAATCTCTTTTAATGAGTCCTGCTTCTCCTCTACCATATACAAGCCTGAGTCATGACTTTACAAACCTGTGAACAGCCTCTCCCCCGTCTGTCATCTCTGTGACTTTCTTGGCTCATCCAGCTCTTTGGCAATTCCCTGCCCTCCAAGAAGTGCAGTGCTTCAGCCTCCCAAGCTCCTGTCTGGTGGGATGTTCTCCCTTTATTTTTTCTCTCTTCTTACCCAAGCCCTTACAGAAATAGCCACTCCAAATACTCCCTTTCTTCCTTTGCTCCATGGAGAGAAACGAGTGCTACTTTTGTATGCGACTCCTTCCCCTCCGCACTTAAAATTACAATCAAGCGATTCTTTCATCCTCCTTACCCTCTGACCCACCAGCCCTGGGTTAATATTGCTTGAGATCTATGACGGCATCTCTTCTTTACCTCGGTCCTACATCAGTAGCTGAAGGGAGAGAGTTACTTTTAGTTAACCTGTACCGCACTGAAGAGCAATTTACTAAGTAAGTTAATGCAAGAGAGTCTTGAGGGGGAAGCAGGATACTTAAGTGAGCAGGATAGGAAACCTCGTACCAAAAGCATGCGTACAGATGGGCAAGAGATACCCCTCCAGACAAACCGTCCCTCCTGCAAAAGTCACCACCGAAAAACGCTTTTCCCCTTGACCTAGGGCTAAGGAGCACACGGTGTGTGTGCGGGTGCCTGCGTGAAGCACGGGAGAAGCCTACGCCTGGCCGAATCGGGGCAGCATTAAGGAGGCTGGACGGCCGCCACCCCTGCCCGCCTGGGCCCGGCGGGAGGGGATGGACAAGGTCGCGGCAGTGCCCTGCCGTCCGTCCCCCCCCAGCCACTAGGGACCACTGCTCCGCGCCGCCGGCCAGGCAGGAGGGCGGCCAGGACGGGGAACCGGCAGGGCCGAGGAGCGGAGGGCAGCGGTCGGCGCGGGGGCCCGGGCCACCGTGTCCACCGACGTGCGGGGCGACCCTGTGAGGGGAGAGAGGCGGGCCACGGCCCCACACCCTCTCGCCCGCCGGCCCTCAC